ACGTCCGGATTTTCCCGGACATGTCCGGCTTTTTGGGATTTCCCTCCGGATGGGGATTTGGAGCCCAAAAAGCCGGACATGTCCGGGAAAATCCGGACGTATGCTAACCCTACCAATAAGCACTCATGCATGGCTCAAATGAGAGGATTCTTTACTAGGGCTGCCAAGAAGGAAAGGATGCAAATAAACTAGTACAACAGCTTAGTTGCATACAGACAAGGATGAACATAGTAATTCCCAATTTAGCCTTAGGTGGGTGTCCAATACAGGGTAGAATGCTAACCTTGTCCCATGGGGTTCCTCAAGCATAATACCTGTGGTGTCTCTTCTAGTCTGTTCCTTTATGAGGGGGCTTGTAGATTGCTGTGGCCAGATCACAGTCCCTGAGATATGTCACTGGGGCCCCTCCACATTGTACCCCTGTTATCCAGTTATAGCATTTGCCTCCTGCCTTCTTCCTGCCAGCTGCTGCAGTGTGGGTGACAATAGGCTACAAGCCCACCCCAGAATCTCTTGTCTGTATGTCCTACGACCTAGACAGGCAGAGCTAACAGAAACATTGTCTATAAAGGTGCTTGAGTTCCCCAATCCTGTTGTCCTGGGAGACTTCAAACACCCACAGTAGCAATGACTCTGACGAAGAAACCTCAGAGCCGTATTTCTTCTCTAGCCACCATGGGATTCTCCCAGATGGTTTCCATATCCACATACATAAGAAGCTTGACCTGGCCTTCACTCTAGAGGAGGAGATAAGAGGTACAAGAGCTACACCTATCTTGTATGGCAAGAAGATGCTCCCACAGTATAGGGATATGAAGGAGGAGAGGGAAGTTACTTAGTACAGTGGTTCTCAAACTAGGGCCGCTGCTCGTTCAGGGAAAGCCCCTGGCGGGCCAGGTCGGTTTGTTTACCAGCCACGTCTGCAGGTTCGCCGCTCCAGGCCAATGCAGCCGGAGTTTGAGAACCACTGACTTAGTATATTGCGTGGGGGCTGGCCTTCTGGGTGCAGGGAGCAGCATGAGGAATGGCCAGTGGGATTTTGTGAATGCAGCTTCCACAGTTGTGCATGCAAATGTGTTAGATTACTGAAAATAGACATATAGTTGCTGGAGTGTGTTCTGGTGTTGAGGAGCAGGAGTCACATTCTGGTGTAAATCTGACGTAACTCTATTGAATGCAGTTACTCCGGATTTTACTGGTATTACAGAAGATTCTGGTTCTGTCTGCACTGGTGTTTATTTGTCAAGTGAGGGCACGTGCACAAGTATGTGCCATTTTGCCAACCCGTGAACAAGTACCCCAAAGCATTTAAATGAAGAACAAAGTAGCAACCTTTATTAGGAACTGGGCTTTTGTCTTTCTGTTTTTCATTCATTGTGTTATTTTATCTAGTTTTCTGTTCAGCATATGAAACTGCATGACAGCAGTGAGTACTTGAAGAACAAGGGTAAAGGGGACTTACTGTGTTTTACATATACAAAATGTTTATTCAATTTTATGAAAAAGACCACACAATAGATGCCATAAAACACATGCATGTATCTCAAGCTCTAAGTATGAATGGAAAATGACATTGAATAGACAAAAGAAGCAGTTATAGTAATAATGCTTGTTCCAACAAGATACAATGTGCATTTGTTATGCATCTTTCTTTTTTCTTGGAGGGTGTATTATGTTTTCTAATGCACTATGATTTCTCCCTGCAGAAGAGGTGAAAATGAAAAGCCGAGTATCTGAAATGGATTCCATAGAAAATACATTTTCAATGCTTGAGTTGTCAAACAGAAATAAACAGAATGTCTCTCCTGTAAGAAACAAAGAGCCATCAGTGTCTCTCTCATCACAGACTGTGGATGAAGACCAGGTAACGAGACTGGCATCAGTCCACAGAGGCAAACATTAAATTAAGGAGAAGACAGGCAAAAATATTCATGCATGGAGAGGAAGAGGCTCTAAAGGCCCTTAGAGATTGAAGCAGAGAAGATGCACTGGCTGAGTGATAGTGACTGAAGGCAGTATCTGATCTGAAGCAGATTCCGTAGAATCCTATGTAAGGTGTGGGGCACTTGAGAGGGAACACAAGAGGCACTTGAGGGGAACACACCAGCCATTTGCTGTACCTGTAGAGCAACTGTAGTATACAGGGATGGCCAGGCTCCTGCAGGGATCATAGTCCTGTGTGAATGAAACTCAGATAGGAGTTTTAAAAGAATCACAGACTTTCAGATCCTTGTATAATACTACTGATAACAGAAACTTTGTGCTGTTTCTCTCACCAAGAATATGGTTCCATCTTTGGATAAACTGCCTTTCGATCTCTTGTCTTAGCCACTTGGGAACTGGCTTTGTGCCTTGTAAAGCACGATGAGACCTCCACTATCTCTTAGTTAATAGAATATCCTAATATTTATCTTTGTTTCTATAGAACAAAAGTTTCAGACATGATTGCATGTTTTTGTCACATTAGTAGTTTAAGAAACAAATCCAGTAATAACTGGATGCACTGGAAACATTGCTACAGTAATAGCACAGAGCATTCGTAATGCAATGAATTGGCTGCTGTAACCTTTACACCTGCCTTTGGGAAAAGAACAGAGAGAACGACTGCCATTGAAAACATTGCTTCTGTTCTAAACACTGCTGTTGTGCTTATTTTGATTGCTCATTGTGTTTTTCCATTGGACCTAGTTTGGATATATTTAAGATGATATTCCCTATCCTCTGTTCAGAAACCATTTCATTCCCTCTTTTTTTCATTCCACATACATTTTAAAGGACCCACACATGCAGCCCTTTTGCAAGTGTAAAGATCAGTGGGATCTTTGAATGCGATCTGTATTCTTGCTTCTTTTTAATGCATGTAAATATCTTTGCAGATAATGATGGGTGAAGGCTGGAAAGTTGGCTGCTCTAACCAAGGTGACCTCAGTCTGGCAAGAAGAGTGAAGGTAAGATTTGCTTCAGTGCTTTTCAAGGTAGGAATTATAAGCAGAACACATCTAATCTCTGTCTCATGCACTGATTTACAAATTATTTTACTTGGGGTGGGGAAAGTGTCTGGAAACACAGTGTTTGCTTCCATGATCATTCTGAGGGAAGGAAGAACTCTAGCAGTACCATCTAACCAGTTTTTTTTCTGTTAACAAGTTTATACCTTTAATATGATATAAGAGCGTGCTCTTTGTAAGGGCTTAAATTGCAAGGGGCTGGTTGGAGGGATTGGTCTTGAACTGGATGAGATGATTAAACCTTTTGCAGCTCTAATTTCTCTGTGGTTCTGTGCTGTAAGCTCAGTGCAATATGGGCCAACTCTCCAACTCAGCAATGCTACTTCAAAGGAGCATAGTACAGCTGTGCTTCGTGTTTGCTCTGGTTTCCAGTTCACTTCCAGGTGTAGTTCAAGATGCTCATTTTGACCTACAAATCCCATTCTGGATTGTGTCTCCTCCCTTCTTTTAACCTAAGACCTTAGGTCAGTTGAGATGCTCTACCTGACAATCCCTGAATATGTCTGCAAGTTGGGGGAAAGGCATTCCCAATGGACAGTTTCTACTGTGAAGGTTACTCCCCACTTTGCTCCTACTGAGCTCAGATTCATTGACCTTCATCCCATGTTGCCAGGGCATTCCATTTTTCCAGGCTTTTTCTAAGGAGCTTGGTTGAGTGGAATGGGTGGGAAAGGTCTCAGTTTTTTAACACGAGGTTGAGTCATTTTGAGATTTTTTTGTAATGTGTGTGTAATGAACGACTAGACTGTTCATATGTTCAGAGTTGCAGATAGACACATTGTTTATTAGCATAGCATAGTTTTCTATATCTCCCCTCTAAGAAAAGCAAGTTCCAAGCCCAAGGAGGACAAGTTTCCTGTCATTTATCTTGTATATGTTATATATTTAATCAGTGAACTCATTTTATCATTTATAGACGCTTAGGAGGGAATTCTATTTTGAATGGTTAAGAAGGTCTCAAATGGGGCAGAGGACTTTTTCTGGCCCTCTACACCCATCAGTACAGAGGGTGAACTTAGTGAGTGAAATTTTGTCAGGTTTGAATATTTATAAAGTTGTGCCTGACCCGTATGTAGGCAACACTGGTGGGGAGAATCTTTGTGCCCCCTCCCACTATGCACCCATGGAGAATTTTAATGATAAAGCAATATTCTTACAAAGCACTTTAAATACGCTTAAGACATTTTTAAATGACCATTGTTGAGGCTAAAAAGAAATAACAAAAAAAATCCTGATTTAAGTCTGAAAAACATTCAAGTAAGTTGTTTCTTTGCTTTTTTCACTTCAGCCAGCTTGAACAATAAAACTATAATGGTCAGTTTCTCTTTTGTTTAGAGTCAGTTTCACTTTCTGGCTCTCATGCAGTGGATTCCCAAGACTGCAGAGTAACATTTGTCTCTTACTCCATTTACAAAGAAAAATGTTTTTACATTGAAAACATTGCTTTTCAAATCAGGCATACTAGAATTTATGAAATCTTTTTTTCTCCTCCCCAAAACCTGAAGTTGATACTAAACTATTTGTCAGTGTTTCTTTAACTACTTTTAAAAATACAGAAAGTATACCAAACATTTCTTTCTTTCAAATAATAATAATAATAATTTTAATAAACTTTCAAACTCCTGTAAAAGCTACAAAGGGAATGGAGAAACTGATGTCTACAGTCATAATTTTTGCTTTGCTCCAAGTTGTAGTGAGAACAATGGAAAGAATAGACTTAATTTTATTTGTTCAATCTTTTGGTTTTGGGTATTTTCACAGGTGGACAATTACTTGGAGTTGGAAGATTTTGACACAGATGATGAATTCGGTCAAGGGACATATAGTGGTATGTTTCTTTTCTTTCTCTCTTGTGATTGCTCTCTGTCCCTACCTCCAAATGTCTGAATTTTCCTTCCTCTTTAGATTCTGAATCAGGCTGTGGTTAGGAAAAAATAACTCACGCCTTCACTCTGGAAGTAAGTAACAGCCTAAGATTTATTATTCTGGCTACTGGTGAATGGTATTTTTGGATAACTGTTCCTGAATTTTTGTCCACACTTTTTTTTTGTCCAGAAATCATTCTTATTTTTGCAAAATTTCTCAGCAAGGCTACCAAGAGATGCAGAATCCTGAAATTCTGTATGTTTTTACTGAGGAAAAACAATTTCACTCAAATGTGGACCCATGTTCACTATAAATATTTTGTTATAGTGTTAACATTTCACGAAGTTGGACCCATTTTGAATGTGTAGAGACATGCCCCACAAAATTGCAAATATTTCATTGCAGATATTTCATACATCTATAGTCATTTTAACTCCCTCCCCTCAAAAAAAAATCCTACAGGTGCAATTCTGCCAGAGTCTATCCTAGATACTTGTGTGTCCCCCACCACCCACCATTACCACTGTGCTTCAGAGCACCATACACAGTCTTTAACATACAGTATTTATCCTCACAACACACCTGTGAGATAGGAAAGTGCAGATGGGAAACTGAGGCACAGATAGACTACGCAGCAATTAAACACTCGTGGCTGGCCCAGGCCAGTTGACTCAGGCTCATGTGGCTGTAAAATTGCTGTGTATAGATGTTAAGGTTTGGGCTGAAGCCTGAGTTCTGGGGCCACAAGAGGGAGGAGGGTCGCAGAACCCAGACTCCATCCCAAGCCCGAACATCAACAATTGTTTAGCCCTGCAGCCTGAGCCCTGTGCGCCTGAGTCAGCTGACCCCAAGCCAGCTGTGTCTATTCAACGGCTCTTTTATTCCAGCGTAGGGGTACCTTACATATCTTGCCTAAGATCACACAAAGAATCTGTGGTCGAGTATGGAATTGAATGGAGGGTTCTGAGTCCACAGTGAGTGCTCTAACTGCTTGACTACCCTTCACTTCTCTGTGTGTACAGAACTTCCATTGAAGCCAGAGGGCCTGCAGGAGAATATTCAAAGTCTGGCTTTAATTTGCAGAAGAAAGCAAATAGAGAGTTAATGTTTCGTCCTTCACCCCTGGCATTTCAGAACACAGGCTATGAGATTGCACTCCTATATTAGGCCCGGACAACAAAGGTTTCTATTCAGTGTGATGGTCCTTAGTTTCCTTATTTTCCCCTTTATAGATTTCCAGGACTCAAGTCTGAATACACCTCTCAAATTCTAAGTATAGCTGTTAAAGAATTAAGGGTTCCATAGGTGCAGTGAGTTTACTCTATAGGTTGCCTTTTGACTGGAAACCTGAATTCAGATCTGGTTTATATCACTAGTAAAATGAATTAAATGATCTTAATCTAATCCATAGTGAACACCTGTTCTTATTTCAGAACAGGCGACAAGGTGATAGGTCTGAAATAATTGGCAGTAGGGCTGTTGATTAATCGCAGTTAACTCACGCACTGTTAAACAATAGAATACTAATTGAAATGTATTAAATATTTTGGGATGTTTTTCTACATTTTTAAATATATTGATTTCTATTACAACACAGAATACAAAGTGTACAGTGCTCACTTTATATTATTATTTTTTATTACAAATATTTACACTGTAAATATGATAAACAAAAGAAATAGTATTTTTCAATTCATCTCATACAAGTACTGTGGTGCAATCTCTTTATCGTGAAAGTGGAACTTACAAATATAGATTTTTTTTTGTTACATAACTGCACTCAAAAACAAAACAATGTAAAATTTTAGAGCCTACAAATCCACTCAGTCCTACTTCTTATTCAGCCAATCGCTAAGACAAACATGTTTATTTACATTTATGGGAGTTACTGCTGCCTGTGTCTTATTTACAATGTCATCTAAAAGTGAGAACAGGCTTTCACATGGAACTTTTGTAGCTGGCGTTGCAAGGTATGCCCCTTCCATGCTTTGGCTACCATTCCATAGAACATGCTTCCATGCTGATGAGGCTTGTTAAAAAAATAATGTGTTAATTAAATTTGTGACTGAACTCCTTGGGGGAGGATTGTATGTCTCCTGTTCTGTTTTCTGCATTCTGCCATATATTTCATGCTATAGCAGTCTCAGATGATGACCTAGCACGTTTGTTTTAAAAAACACTTTTACTGCAGATTTGACAAAACATAAAGAAGGTACCAATGTGAGATTTCTAAAAATAGCTACAGCACTTGACCCAAGGTTTAAGAATCTGAAGTGCTATCCAAAATCTGAGAGGGACGAGGTATGGAGCATGCTTTCAGAAGTCTTAAAAGAGCAACGCTCAGGTGCGGAAACTACAGAACTCAAACCACCAAAAAGAAAATCAACCTTCTGCTGGGGGCATCTGACTCAGATGATGAAAATGACCATGTGTCGATCTGCTCTGCTTTGGATCGTTATCAAGCAGAACCCATCATCAGCATGGACATGTGTCCTCTGGAATGGTGGTTGAAGCATAAAGGGACATATGAATCTTTAGTGCATGTAAATACCTTGCAACGCCGGCTACAATAGTGCCATCTGAATGCCTCATCTCACTTTAAGGTGATGTTGTAAACAAGAAGTGGGCAGCTTTATCTCCTGCAACTTTTAACCAAACATGTTTGTCTGAGCGATTGGCTGAAGTAGGAATGGGTGGACTTGTAGGCTCTAAAATTTTACATTGTTTTATTTTTGAATGCAGTTATTTTTTTGTACATAATTCTACATTTGTAAGTTCAACTTTCATGATAAAGAGATCACACTACAGTACTTGTATTAGGTGAATTGAAAAATACTATTTCTTTTGTTTTTTATAGTGCAAATATTTGTAATAAAAAATAAATATAAAGTGAGCACTGTACACTTTGTATTCTGTGTTGTAATTGAAATCAATACATTTGAAAATGTAGAAAACATCCAAAAATATTTAAGTAAATGGTATTCCATTATTGCTTAACAGCGCTATTAATCGCACGATTAATCGTGATTAATTTTTTTAATCGCTTGACAGCCCTAATTGGCAGTTCTCACTCATGGCAGGTCCAGCACTAGAATAGCACAGATGATGGTCAGGAGTGAAGAGCACTGGCAAAGGTGTCTAATAGCTTACACGGCAGCTTCCCACACTTGCCTAGCTGTATGATGCACTATCAGTCATTTTTGTGAGCATTAATATTAATCACATACATTTAAAAACACCAAGTTAAACAGATTGCATTTAAAGAGGTTGAAAACTACAAAAATGATCAAATATAGATTTATGGTAGGAATGCAAACCATATTGGATTAATCTGGCAATTGCTGCTTTTATGGGTGATTATAAAATAATCGTAACGTTCTACCTTCACTACTGCAGATTATCACTGAGCCAACTACTATCCTTTTACGTGACACTTGATTTGGTTTGCAATAGCTTCTCTCCTCGGCCTGTCCCATGAGAAAACCTTCATTGCACAATACTCCTTAATGCAGGAGTAATCCTCATCAACTCTCAACAATCTACAGTGTACATAACAACACTAAGGGTTTATATAGTGTATTATAGCCTTGAAAGCGCTGCACAGATATGAACTAATTCCTCATAATCCCCTGTGAATAAGGTAAATAGCATCCAAAGTTACAGATGGGGAAACCGAGGCATGGGAGTTAGCTTTATATTGCCTATGGCAACAGTGGAGACAGTTGCAAAGCTGAGATAGAATTCAGGAGTTCTGGGCTCCTGGTCCAGTGCTCTGACTACTAGACCTCACTGACTAGTTTGTATCTTGTATGGTAAAACCATCGTAATAAGCCTAATGAGAATGAAGGTACTGTCCTCTATACTGTAGAATACACACCTGTAAAAAGTGTAAATCTTAAAAAAAATATTAATGAACACAAGCATAATTGATCACAGGTGTTAAAATGTCCCAGTTAAACTAATATTTTTTTAGGGTGTGACCTGGAGGAAATCACTCTCTTTTCTTTCCTTTTTTAAATTCTGTCCAACTAACCTGTCCTTTCAGGGCCGGGTGTAGCTGCTGCTTCTGAACAAAAGAATTCATAGAAATACAATTGTCTCTATAAATCAGCTGGCCAATATACAAATAAACTGTAGTTATTTTAGTTAGACAGCAGTCTTGCAACTGAAAGCCTGGAACTGGTCTTTGAATTGTGGGACTTTGGCATAATAACTCTAGTTAGCCATGCAAATCTGATTCCCCAAACCATAGCTTTAACCCACTGTGTACAGACAGCACGTGCATGGAGGGCCATTTAATCTCTCTCTTTCTCATTAAATTTAATCTGTGACTGTAAGTAGCTTAAGGCAACAATACAAAGGATCAGAAATTCTCATGGGACATGGAGAAATACCTGGTTTCCACACTGTGGCAGTATGATTCATTTTACATCTAAGCTTTTTTCAAGAGTGTTGACAAATCATTTTCTGCACTGCTCCAAGAATGACTTCTCTAAGTAAAATGTAAAATAAAAAATAAATCCTATATGCATAACATCTATAAAAATCTCAAAATGTGTTAAGGACACAAGTACATATAAATGCAAAATGATTCTGAGTGCTGGGTGAGGGGAACAGCATCAGAAATAATACCACTTAGCACTTATTTTGCACTTTTCATCTGTAGATCTCAAATGCTTAATCATTTCCCCCATTTTACCGATGGGGAAATTGAAGCACAAAGAGGGGCTTGAAAGATTTGTCCAAAGTCACTAGCAGAGTTGCAAACAGAACCCTCCTGACTTCCAGTTTTAGGGCCTTTTCATGGACCTACCATCTCCCAGTTAAGCTTAAGCTTTCAATATATAACCTCCTGATTTTTAAGGGTTCATAACTTCATGGTAAAAATGCCCTCCAAATACGAGCTCATTGGGACTTGGCATTCTGTAAAAGACAGTCACTGTCACTTCCAAAACCTCTTTT